TCTCCTCACGGTCTCGATTTTGCTTGAGGGCGACCCTCTCCCGTAGATCATCAGAAATCGCCGCAGCCATTCACTACAGTGTCAAGTAGGATGGGTGTAGCAGGAACGATGAAGGTTGTAGACGAATTCTAAGGTGTTTCCTTGAGGGTAGAGGGGACCCCTCTAGGTGGTAATATCTCAATCCAGCGACCGGCTGTTTTGATAGGAGAACACACAAGGTTCAAATGAACCTAAGCGGGCATCCCATATGTCCTTGGGTTTGCCTGGTTATCGAAACATGAACAAACATGGTAAACGCTAAAATCGCTATATTATTGGGTTTTACAGCTTGTTCAGCAGAATTTTTTTTTGCTTCTCGTCACCTGTTCTTTTCAAGTAGTCCAAAACGCTTATTATTGCATTTCAACCACACCTTGCTTCAGAAGCTTAAAAGTGTTTCCTCGACTTTTCGACAGCAACTGTTTTCTAGATCTCCTCATTTGGCTAAATCTCTTTGCAAAGTATACTAGGTTTATACCAGGCCTCAAAACATCGAAATTAAGTCAACTAAGTGTTTCCTCGACTTTTCGACAGCAACTGTTTTCTAGATCTCCTCATTTGGCTAAATCTCTTTGCAAAGTATACTAGGTTTATACCAGGCCTCAAAACATCGAAATTAAGTCAACTACGCCGCGAAGATAACTTTTGAGCATAAAAGTTCCCAAAATCCTCAAAAATGAAATTAAACTCGAGTCCAGTGAGCTTCTTCAGCTATAAAGTCCCAAAAGATAAAATTCTCGGGCGTTGAACGACGCCGTCAGAGGGATGCGCCCACTCATTCGACTTCCATCCATAATCGTGGTGGCTTATGAATGCGCATGTGGCCTATACAAAGACTTGCCCCGTTCGGCCATATTTCAGGCCATAAATCAAGTGTTTCGGAAAACAAAGAGGGAAACCAAATCCATTCTCGAACGAAGAAAAAAAACCTGCGAAACATTTCATGCATAGCCAGAACTGAAAAATAGCTCAAGGTTAAGGTCAAAGCTCACATGTGATGTCATGTCGTCACTTTTTTGATCCCGGAGGAATTATTGGAGACTGTCAAAAGGCCAGTATTTAGCCTAAAATTGGTTCACAAACTGGCCGAATGTGATGCATGGGTTTCACCTCTTGACAATTTCTAGAGCGCATAAATAACAACTTACCCAAACGCTGCATATTCTCACACATACAACCTGAATAATACATTCTATGTGGGGTGAATTCAAATCAGACAGTACAGGAAACATGCAGGTAAATACCATGCAATTCGATGACATTACACCACAAATTCCCTAGGAATGTAGATCTAGGCCACACAAAAAGGGAAGTTCGGGATAACCACCAGCATTTCAACGAGGACATCACTTAAGCAAGCCTAGACATACTCGTAACATGCAGAGATAAAACGGCGAAGGAATCATGCAAGTCTGGCATACCACGCAAAATAGGAAGCCGGGCAGGGCCTTCACGTCCCTATTCTTGGCTGCTATGCATGCAGCTTCGATAACTAGACATTAAAAAAAACCAATAAAAAATCGAAAACGTTAGCAGAAAAAGTAAGCCAATAAAAAATCTAAAATGTTAGTAGAAAGAAAAGCCATTAAAAACCTAAAACGTTAGTAGTCAGAACTTGTTCGACAGATTTCCACGACCTTTGGTAGACTCTAACCTCCTCTGCCACCAATTCCTGCAAGCAGAGACCGCTTCCGAGCAGTAGAGCAGGAGAGCAGCTACCCGGTACCAACTACATTCTATTAACAATGATTACTAACAAACACGGACTGAAATACAAACACACACACCGATTGGAAGCGTAGGTGATACAATATGTTATAGAAGGACAAAGAATTTCTTTGAATTCCACCATGACCATGTAACCGAAGAAGTTTTGGGTCTCGTCAAAATGAGGGTGATGTGATTTTACNCCCCCCCCCCCCCCCCCTCCCTTCACTCCCGTTTGGGTGGAAATAAGCACGATGAAATAAGTAACTTCAAAGACCGAATCTTTATAACCCCTTCATAGTTCTCTTGAATTCTCTTTGCACTCGAGTTCGTCGGGAGAGTCTTACAGTTATGGAATTGCTGAAGTCCCAAGTTCTGATAGAGGTCAGAGTGAGAAAAATGAAAGCAAACCTACTTCTCCATTGTTTTGGTAGAACGTCATCAGTCCGATACACGGCTGTGAACGGACCCTTGCCTGTTCTCAAAGCAACCTGTACCCTCGGGCGAGCTCAAAAAGATATTTCACGTAAACGAATCGAAGTGAAATGTTTAGTCTAGTGTTTAGTTTAGTGTTTTTCCCCAGTTATCCTACTTCGGAGTTACTTCCAACATTATCGGCTAGAAAATTTTCAACTTTGGGGAGGATATGTGACTTCCAAATACACCATTGTGGGTAAGGTGAAAACAAAGGGGTTAGGGAGGTAAGTGGAAAAGCAGGTAAGGCAAAAGCACTAGCACAGACAGCAACACAACTCAAAGCAACTACTACACAAACATTAACAATATGCGATAGATAAAGGAAGTGAAGCGTTGGAACGAGGTGTGCACACAACTGCCTAGCGGGTTTTAGGGCAAATGATTGACACAAGTTCCAATGCTTACTAGCAGCGGAGTGGCAGGAATCGAACTTGTAATATGTGCAGGCCAAATATAACCAGATACTTCGTTGTATAATTAAATAAGCCAGGAAGGGGTAGGAAGAGGATATTTAATGCGCGGAAAGTGTAATCGCTTAAAAATCCATAAAAACTTCCGGAAAAGTCCATGAGGACCTGGTTTGTCGCAAAAACATTCGGCAGATACTTTCCGTACAACCACCTGATAGTTATTCTGATGTCCCCACATGAAACGCACGTATAACAGCAGCCTTGCACGGGCTGATGAAAGGGAACTGAAGGGAAATATGACATACTGCGAAGATACTAACAAACTACAACCACACTTTGTATAACCGTATGCCTACAGTATGCCATTCACCTTGCTGGACCTATCTTACGGGCAACCCCAAGACGATGAAATATCTGCATAAAAACCTCAAAGGAATTGAGACAGTGGGAACATATGTGGCATTTTCATAGGGGGTCTAATCAACTTGAGAAGCCTAACCTATGTATGAGTGGATTAATTTACGTATCCTGGAAAAAATCAACGCATTGCAGGGTAGTACGGGGCTGATCATCTGTCAGGTATACAAATTGTGCCCTCATAGGGGTTGAGTGCTAACGGGCTCCATTCGGAAACCTTCTGAAACTCACAGGATGAAATTCATAGGATTGTTAAGCAGATGAGGAACATGAACTAGAAACCAGCCCTTAAAAAAGGCAATTCCAAAGCCCTGCCAGTTCAGTCCTACGGTGTTTGCTACCAACGTAGGGTTTCGGAAGAAAAGTCGCATCAAAACATTTGAATTCCCGATGAATACACTCAGATTTGTAGTAGAATAAAGCAGAAGACGAATTCCTACCAAATTTGAACCTGATGAATTCCTCTACATTGTCATTCCATAGTTCCTCGTCATCATCGTTATAACACATTAATGGGAATAACACATTTTTGATCAGATCCTAAATCATTTTGAGTGGCCAACAAATTAATTACGTTTGTAAGCTTTGCCATCCGACTTTACAGCGAAAAAGAATAAAAAGAAAAATTGGAATTAATGCTCACAAGTGCATGAGGCTTCACAATCCTCCAACAGAAAGAATGAGCAACAGCTGTCTGTGCGAATGAGAGTGCATGATGTAGGACCTTAACGGGAAAAAAAATCAGAAGAAATTTAAATGGCCCCTTGAGGGGCTCCAGAAACACTAGTATATTTCGAAGCAATTTAAACAAGCCAGTTCAAGGGTTAATATTTTGAACCGTCTTTGTAACCCGATGAAAATATGTATAATCTGAGAAATTACCGAAATATGGTGTAGGGAAGAAACATTTCTTCATCAGTTATCGAAACTCGCTTCCCCTTTTTCAATGTTGATCCTATTCTTATGGAATAAAAGTACTTCAACTTAAA